CGTTTGCTTTCTATTCGAACGTAGAATTAAATAATTATTCGTGAAACCTGATTTCCCGTGCCGAGGGAACGAGATTTATCGCGGATCCGCCGGGGCTCGATCGGAGATTTTTAAATCGCAGTTACAATTAAAGCTTCATTTTTCACTCGGGCGAGCGAAACTTCCACTAGTAAAAAAGTTTCGTAAGTCTTCAAACGAATATCTGGTCGGTGTACCCGTGTTGAGAAAGAAAAGTATCAGAGAACGAAGCCATTTCTACTTTGTCAATTTAATCCGACGAAAAAAAAGAAAAAAGAAAAGAAAGGAGAGAAAAAAGCGTTCGACAGGAATTATAATGAGAGCCACTCGAGGAATTAAATCAACAGCACCGGGGATGCAGTACACCGCTGTTAATTCGTTGAAAATGTAAAAGGAAATATCGACGTCAATGTCAATAATTAACTGAAAGAATGAATTTTTCGTTGCGAGTTTCTTTTCCATTTTCATTGTCTGCGTGAAATTATTCTTAACTGGGCCACCTCTCAACTCTCGAATGCGAGAAAAGTAAATGAAAGAGAATGAAAATATTTATCTCGGACCCCTGATTCTCAATCAAACCGTTAAATTCGGTGAATAGTCTCGCGAGTCGATTCTCTCTCTCTCTCTCTCTCTCTCTCTCTCGTCGATTTTTCTTGAACGATGGACTCGAGATAAAAAATAAGACTGAATCTGGAAAAATCTCGGACTCCCGGTTCTGTCGAAAACCTTTAAAAAAAAAGGGGGGAAAAGAGGCTGAAAGCACTGGTTAAATCTAGGGCTCGCGGTAACTCGAGGACACTCGCACTCGTTTGAATTACGGATTCATTTTAAACGCTTCGACGATTCCCTCCTCTCTCTGAATTTCAGTTATCAAACTTTTTCGGCACTCTAGCTCGGCAATGAAGGATAATAATCGCCATTCGTTACGAATTGCCTTGTTCGTTTTAACCTCTTGCGCTGGAATGACGCACGTCGAGAATTTTCTGTCCCGAAATTGCAATATTTTCTCAGTTTTAAGTATATTTAAGTATAACCCAGACAAAGCAAATGATAAATTTATTACTTCTCAACAATTCTATCCAGTAATATCGTACCGACAAGTTCGAAAGAAAAAGAAAGACAAATTATTTTATACAGTTCGGTCACTCGTTATGGTCCGCAATCAGTTGCCAGCGCAAGTGGTTAACGTTTTGTGTTGGAATGACGAATTTTTTGTCTCAAAATTGCAATATTTTCTCAGTTTTAAGTATATTTAAGTATAACTCAGGCAAAATAATAAATTTATTACTTGTTAATAATTTTTATCCAGTGATATCGACGAGTTCAAAAGAAAAAGAAAGCGACGAATTATTGTATAATTTTATAGTTTGGTCACTCGTTATGGTCTGCAATCAGTTACCAGCGCAAGTGGTTAACTCGAACACGCAGAAGAAAGGATACGAAAATTACGCTCGTACTACGAGACAACTATTTTTGATTTTCGATTTATTCACGGCTTATATGTCCGGATATTTAACACTAAATCTACCTAAATCAAATTTATTTCGTTCAGAATTTCTTACGTAACGTTGAAATTCCACCGGAGTGGGCCAGATAGAGAATTCACGCGACATTTTACAAAAGATCAACCTTCTCACTTTGATATTTTTTTTTAAACATATAATATACTTAATATATTTGGTATATTTAATATATTCAGTACATTTAATATATTCAGTATATTTTTAATAAGAAAAGAGTATAATTTTCAACTATCTCTTGATAAATTTGCAAAATACTAAAATGTTATTTATTTACATGTTAATACATCTCATTAAAAAAATTAACATTTTGAAAACACTTTTGTGATGTTTTTCTTTTCCTTTTTTTGTTTTTTTACATTACTCTACTTTCGTACACGTTTCAGGAATTAGGTACAAGAGTGGAGGACCGTTCGTACATTGTGTCCATGGAACAAAAATGGGGTCCAGCATTTTTCTCAACAAAACTATGAGTAGAAATGGCTTTGACTGGTCAGGGTAAAAATGGATATACGTGGAGTACACGTCGGTGGGTTCAGTGTTAATGAACAAACTTCGCGATTGTTAGGGAGCCAGCCAGCGTAAGAAACGAGTTTCGTATAAAAATATGTCCAGTTTCTCTCTCTCTGTAACAGGTTACTGGCCAAAAGTTCGGAACCGTCCGCTTTAGCTCGTTTCACAATAATTCGTCGTATAACTCGTGGGTAGTAAAATGTTTGGAAAAAGTATTCCGAGAGAGAAAATATATTGCAACTGCCAACTGTTGTCATTATTTATTGCTTGCAGTCGCGTTAATTGCAACGCTGGTTAATAATCGTAATTTATTCGATGAAAAACCCATCAACGCGCCACAATTCGTTCATCTTTGCCATTTAACGTTCGTTACGTTATTTGTTACTTTGGCAACGAATTTTTTCCAAAATTACATTATTTTCTTGGTTTTAAGTATATTTAAGTATAACCCAGGCAAAGCAAATAATAAATTTACTACTTTACCGACGAGTTCAGAAAGAAAGCGACGAATTATCGTGTAAGATGAAATATGAAACATTATTTTTACTTCCCGGTGTAGACAGATAGCGAGCAGCCCACGGATGTTTATGCAAATCTGAATTCCCGCGAGTATTGCCGATACTTGTACAAATAATCTGTAATTGTACGCGATTGGATATTAACGATAGGATAAAGTTTAACAAACGATGTATACATACTAATATTGCCACGTCTTGAAAATTTGGAGTGCCAACGTTTGCATACACAACGATCTAACAATAGTAATCCAACGGGCTCGCGAAATATTTCAAACGATGAATAAAATTTGTTCTATCTCCCATCTCTACGATGATTAATAATTTCTCAGCTTGAAATTTTCATCAATTGCCAATTTCGTGCTCGTTGTTATGCGTTATTTTCTATTTGTTGCTAAGATTCTTAGAAATTAACAGAGAACCGAGAGAAAAAAAAATATGCAATTTAACTTCGCAGCATGTAACAGCATGTGGCACCTTTCTTTTCTTTTCTCTTTTTCTTTCTTTAATTATTACAAGAATGAGTAACGTGTTCAAATAGTTTAATAATTAAGCTCGAGTAAAATAATGCTCGCTGCGTGCAGAAAACGGGCAAACAATTGCCTGCGATTGCAAACAGAACGTTGCACGTATTAAAGAAAGAAGAAAAAGGGGGAAAAAATGTACGCAGTACAACGAAAATGAAAATAGGAGCCAAAGAAAAATAAAAGGGGCGAGTTCGCGGGGAACAGGGGAAATGTGTGTCGCGCGTTCGGAATAAATCCGGTTTTTGGCGCGCCGTCAGCCGTATTTAAAACAAAACGCGCGTAAACACCGATCATAATAATAGCAACGTAAGCGTTTCCTATCGTACCGACGTTTTATTCGAATTTTATTTTAAATCGAATTTAAAATATTTCCAAATCGAACATTCTGCACACCCGTTATATCGTTTCGCTCGTTTTGCAATAGTTCAGATTATATACAGGGAAGGGGGGGATTCTACACACTCTGCATACAAAACGACTAGGAAGTTTCGAAGCAGTTTCTATATGCTCCATTTCTGAAATAAAATAAGACGAAAAATAAAATATGAAGATAAGGAAACGAACTAAAGTAATTTTAATGTATTAATTAATTAATGTATTAATTTAAGTATATATATATATTTTTTTCTTTTTTACAAATTTACATGAAGTGAATTTCATTAATATTAATAGCCTGTAATTTGTGATTTGCACGATTTTACTAGTGATAGTAATTCGAGAGGAAATTAATAATAGCGGGGAAAGAGAGTCGAATCATTCTGTTCCAAAAAAAAATCATTAATTGCATAAAAATATAAGTTACATAAAAATTATTAGTTATTAAAACTGTGTTAGTTGCATAAAAAGTATGTAACTGAAAGATATTTCTATATTTTTTTCAAGCAAATTAACTACACGACATCAAAAATAATCAGTGTTTTATTGCAATAATTAGCCGAATGTGAACATTGAAAAACGCGTTAGCCAGGGGAATTTGCAGCTTTGCAAATTTTTAATTTTAAGCACACGGTATGTTTCAGAAATTATCGAATCACATCCGGCGAATTAGCAGCGAATTAGCATGTGAACGGTTATTAAAACTATATTGATAATGGGCCTCAACAAAGCCTGTTGAATAAAACAATCGAGCCCAAGAGGAAAACACGTCGATATATAAAAATTCGATCGAAAGCCGCTTCGATGAATAAAGAGTCAATTGGAAACAATGGATCGGAGGAAAGTAACGTAAGGACAACAAAGGGGAGCAAGTGAAAAGGCAAACGACGAAAACGTACAAACACAATCAAGCTGCGAAAAAAGGTCTTTGACGATCTGTGAAGAGAATGAAATAAACAAAGCCTGCGGTGAAGAAGAAATTTGTAGAAAGATCGAAAAAAAAAAACAATCCTTGTACCATTGAACAATCTTCAAATTCACGACGAAAGAAAGAAAAAAAAGTAAGGAGTAAAATTTACACGATACACATGGCGACTCTGAATTAGAATATAACACAATTGCAATACCGAGACTTTTTCTCATTCGTCGATGTGAACGTAAGTTAAAAATATAAGGGGGGAGGAGAGGAAACGAAATAACAATTACAGTTTTATAGCGCAAAACAAAGATAATAGGAATAATAACGGTGGCGCCATCATCGATACTAATGGCGGTGAAAATATCAACAACAAAAATACTAACCCCTCGCAGTTACACCCACGAATCTAGCAATAATAATATTCGGTCGGGATTCGGCCAACACACGAGGGACACAAGCAAGGAGAGATTCGAACATTCCTAACCTCTCTGCGCTGGTCATTCCGTGAGATCGCACATCCAAAAAGAAAAGAAAGAAACCAAGGAACAGCGAGTGAGAACGTTACATTAAACAACAGCGATGCAACAACGATCTTTTTTCGAACTTTCTTTACCTTGGTTCGGTGTGTGTGTGTGTGTGTGTTTACAGATAACGGTTAGCCACTCGGACGATATTCATCGGTTCCTCAACCATAATAACAACACACTTTTGATTCAGTTCTTTCATCGTGTTCATCATATATGTTGCAACACGTATTTCCGCGTATATTCTCAAGGTTTCCTGCCAATTAACCAAACGCAACGAGAACCGTTTGAAACGCGTGATATATTCACTGAATAATACGTCAGAATTTGAATGACGAACGTGGTTAGGCGTGGTAGGAGGCCCGGTGAGACACAGGTTGGCGAGAAAAAAAAAACACACGCACGCACGCACGCACGCACGCACGCAGGCACGCACGCATACGCACACAGGTTGATCTTTGGATGTTCTCTAACGCGAGAAAACTAGAAAAACTAAAGGCGGACCGACAAGATACATTTTTTTCCGAGATCGAGAGGGCGGAGTGGGTTGGGCGAAACAAAAGAGGCTGAGCCACGCTCTCACGCAAGGAACACACACAGCCGAAATTTGTCCGAGAGACGGCAAAAGCCAGGCACACGGCGAATAAGAAAATCTAATATCTCGATCGAAGAAGACCGAGCAGAATTGTTTATCGACCGAGAAACGGCCGGTTCTTCTTCTTTCCTTTTCTTTTTTTTTTTTTTTTCTTGCCACCCGGAGGAAAACAACAACCGTGCGACCACCGTCCGAGATCCGCGAGCGATATTTACGAGAAAGCGAAAACTATATCCCCCGACCGACTACCTCCGATATATAGGTTATCATCGTCGCGAAACGAAACACCCGGGAGAGGGAGAGGAGAGGGAGGAGGAGGGAAAGGTGGGATGAGAAAAGAAAGAAAGAGAAACACGGCGAAAACAAAAGAGACGAGGGGGGAAACTTCACTGGCACAACAACACCCGTCGAGGACGAGACGGACGGATCCACAAACCGAATGACTTTCCCCGGCGGTTCACACATAATTTTCAATCACAGCGTATCCAGCGTCGGTGTGCGGAAAGAGGCGGGACGAGAGAATCTCGCGTGCATCGGTACGGCTGTATTCCGGGGGACCGATAATCGAGAGAGCCAGAGGATCCGATGTGTGTTTAGCGAGGTGTACCACCACCCTTTCCTTTCTCTCTCGTCTATACATATACATATACATACATGTGTATGTACATACATATATGTGTGTATATAAATTTTTTTTCCTCTCTCTTATGTTTCGTTACCACCGATCATCTCATATCACGTACAGCTTCGGTATATTTTGATTCACTCCGAGCCCGCACCTAAATCCAAGGGAGATAGACAACACAACAAGCAGGTACACGGATCAAGAGAGGACAGACCGCGTGTATGTTATATAATGTACCCGCGTACGTGTGTAGATGCGTGAGAGAAAAAGAGTAAGTGAACGAGTAAGAAAGAGAGAGACAGACAGATAAGACAGACAGACAGACAGACGGACGGACAGATAGAAAGAGAAGAGAAGAGAAGAGAAGCCAAAGCGTGTAAGTGGGGAAGAGAGACAGAAACAGGGGTTAGAAAGTGGGGAGGAAGAAGATAGAAAAAGAGAGAGAGAGAGCAAGCTAGTATCGGAGTAGGGGTAATAAAGAGAAAGAAAGAGAGAGAGAGAGAGAGGTGAAGTAAGCGAGGTGAAGATACAGAGAGAGAGAGAGAGAGAGAGAGAGAGAGAGAGAGAGAGAGAGAAGGAGCAGAATGAGGGAGAGAGGAGGACGCAAAGACGACGATGATTGCACGAGGGATGCGTCCGCGACGGAAGTACGAGGCACACTAAGGGCGTGGGCAATCGGAGCAAGGCCGGTGTGGAGTTTCTGAGGGGAGTACCACATTGATTTTGATTTTCGAAGCGCGCGCATGAATCTCTCCGTGTTCAGCTCTGCCCATTCATACGTATGGGACGTTGGTCCTTAGCTGGTACAGCGGGACTTCGTATAACACGGTGTAACTTGTGTAACGGGCGATGGAAAAAATAACCGAAGATAAAAGAAAATCGATTAATTGAACGAAAATTGCAAAACGCTGAGAGCGCAAAAATCCTAACCAAAGAAACGTTAATAGAGACAAAGAAGAATCTCTAAAAAGTTATTTACCTCTATGTCACGTAATGAAAAGAAATTTTACAATTCTAGATGTTTGAGATTGGAATATTTATACGGTTGCTCGAGAATAAGGTACATAATAACGTTATGTTGAGAAAGAAGATACTCTAACCTTTTCCAGCACTCTGTGACGTAACGCGGAATTCGTATAATTCGTATTTCCCGCGTTGCGCTGTGGAGATCCAACCCGTATCTCCCCGACTGTTCCACGTTCGATCGTCGATTTCTTTTCCCTGTTTTCTTTTTTTTTTTTTCTACGAACGTGAAATACTCGCTTTAATTATTTTCACAATTAATAAAGCAATATCAATTCCTCTTTCTCTTTTTTTTTTTTATAGCAAAGATAATTCGACGAACGAGGAACTGCAATTTAATTATAAATAGTATATACGATCTTTGTGAACGATTCTTTTCACGATGTACACTCATATAAATATGGGAAACTCCTATATTCAAACCTTACATCACTTAATGGTTAGCTTTACAAATTTGACAATTTAAAATTTCAATTACGATTCAAAATTTAACTATAACTATTTTTAAACTATTTTTAATAACTATAACTATTACTATAACTATCGCTATTACAAAACTTAACTTTAACCATAACTATTTAACTATTAAAAGAGCTAAATAGTCGTTTGCTGTTCCAATAGTCGAATCGATCTATACTATTTTCTACAATTTGTTACTTGGATGTAAAAATTGCCCGTACAAAAATTTGAAGCAGGAAATACGAATCTGTTGCCCCTTTCCTAGTTACGATTTTCCTTTCATGAATTTCGATTACATCATCGACAGAATTACATCTACCAGGAGTTTAATCCAAACTACGCTAGGTTTTGTCAACAGGTGATGCAATAATTACAAATCGATATGTTATTACGTTCAGAAATTACGGCCGCGCAAATGCGTTGCAAGTCAGGGTCAGCTGAAGTATCGGGAATGGAATTACCGATGAAAAAGACGCTGCGGTTTGTTTTTTATAGTATTTTATACAAAACTGAATAAAACTGTCAAATACAAATATAGGGTGGGTCAAAAGTTTTTCCTCTATTTTTTTTTCCAATGAAAACATCAAAATATAAGGAAGAACTAATTTTGTTAATTTTAAATTAAATTCAAGTTCACACATGATCTTTCCGCTATGTTTTGGAAATCTGTAAAAAAGATTTGAAAAAAATTGGTTATTTTGTGGGATTTATTTTAATAAGCAGCAATTTTTGGCCCACCCTATAGAATAAATCATTCACATTCCATGAATCAATCACATCTCGTTTGATATCTATTGTCCTTTTTGAACATAAATTTTCCCACGATCAATCGTTCGCGCTATAACATTTAAAATGGTTGAGACAATGTTCTACAATTTATGGTGAGCAGAGTTCAAAAAACACGATGCGATATATTTTTTTAGTTTAGTAGATTATAAGTTTTTCAGCAAAAGATTTATAAATTAATAAATTGTTAATTGCGTAAAGAAATGATAAGCAACGTTTTTAATTATCATTCACGGATTGTCATTCAAGCAAATCGTACGAATCTACTTAAGCAGTAGTGTAGGTCAATAACAGTTGCAATTTGCGATAACTACTGCTACATGATAATTTCATAATAATTTTATGTAATCAGCATATTGTTATGTTAGTGTTACAACACTATAAAACAGCTACAAAGTATATTGAAAAATATTGTCGTACGAAGTCTCTAAATCCACTTGTGAGAAAACAGTAGTATAGATCAACAACTGAGTAGACTACAAGGAAAAGATGAATCTTTAGCAACGTTTAAAAGAATTATTTTGTCGCAATAATCACTATTATGATAATTCCATATATTTAACACACTTACGCTGATATTAGAATATTAATTAAAATAGCTTTTACAATAATGAACACTGGAGGACCGTATTGAAAAATATTGTGATTTCAAATCACTATATAATGTCTACAATTATTGAATCGCTCTCGTATGTTAAAAATGTGAAATCCACTGTGTAATTCTCAGCGCCTGAGGATTCGACATCTCACTCCCTCGGGAGGACACCGTGGACCACGAATTCCGGTACGTAATAGTGGTGACAGCAGCGAAATTCCGCTGGGAAGAGACATGGATGCCGGGAAGGCATTCTCCCAGGGGAGGAAAGTGTCGTGTCCTAGGCGTGTGGATTATCAATAGTTTCGCTTGACCACCAACAAAGGTCCTTTCAATTTCTCCAAGTATTTCATCTCCAAAAAAAAAAAGAAGAAAACTAACCGAGAGAAGGATTTAATGGAATAAAGATCAAAGTTGTTATGCATTACAGGACTTTGATATAAAAAATACCATTGTAGAGAAAAGAAATATTACTACTACATATTACATACTACATACTACAAATAAACGAGCATAGTGATAAAGTAGTAACAAGAATGACTTCCCATGCTCTGGATCACTTGAATGATCCAGAGGGTGAGGAGCCATTAGTAGTTGCCCTCTTGAGTGGCAATTTGCCGGGCCTCTTCGGCATGTAGCCTCTTCTTTCTTCGAGCGCAATGCCCGCTGAAACTTAAATCTAGGCTCGAGTTTCTTAAATTGCAAAACAAAGAACAACTCGCAAGGGAGAGACTGTGCTAACCTGCCCGGTCCTACCTACTTATAATTAAAACAGACACACCAGAAAGTATGCTACCTGCCTATCCAGCCCCCCACTATATTTAAAAAAATGACAAAAGACAGACACACTCGCTCCACGGTTCTCACACATACACCCGGGCGCAACCTAATTTAGAGAGGACGTCTCGAGACGCCTCCGTCACCCGAGTTTGGCACGCAACATTCACACTTTAATTTACGTACCATTTTCCTGAAATCGACTGACGAAGGCTAATGATCATTGCGTAAAATGTGACAGAAATTTAATTTCATTAATTTGCTATATTTAATATCGTATATCGTATCGATAGTGCTTGTGAGATTTATTGATAATTCAAAATTGTGTTGCCCGGAATAACGCAATTCCACAGCCTAATCACACACATACACACACAATGTGAAAAATACATCGTGCACGATACAACGCATCGTCAGTCGCTGAGAAATTATTAAGCTTATAAACTATAGTCATCATGCTCATTGCCTTTCTCCCACTCAAGTAGCACCTGGGCACGTGAGTGAGATCCTGGAAGTGAACATGGAAAGGATTAAATCCGAAAATGAAAAGAATTAAATCTAAGCTAAAAAAAAATTTATTAATTATTATCTAACGGGCTAATATTCCCTTGTTCGAATTTTCAATGACTGTATTTCATAATTTACTTTAATAATTTAATAAATTACTGAAACGTTACACTCGAATAAAAAAGAAATTGGCAATAAATATTCAGTTCAAATAATATAAAATTCAATCTGTGAGTTTGTGATTCTGAGTAAAATATTGATAGAAATATTCTTAGGCGATTCTCTCATCAAAGCAGATCTTCAAAAACGCAAAAGTAACATTTAAAATTCATTCGTTGCTTTGATTCTGAAATCTGCCTGTTGCGAAACGTTCTCCTGCACGTGAAATTTAATATATTTTCAGACAGGTAAATTGAATTTCATGTTCCACATTTTATGGAGATTGTACTGAATGTAAAAAAATAATTAGAATATCACAATATTTACAATATTAAGAAAACGCAACGTGCAAGAAAACCTATCCTGAGCTAATAAGTAAAACACAGGAAAGAAAATGTTATTACTCATGGGTAAATATACCCATGATCACTATGCTCGTCAAAAGTTCTACGTAATACAACCAGTCATTCGTGTCGATTTGGACCTTTCCTACGACATGATTGAATGACCGGAGGAACAAAAATGCATGCGACTCACGATTAGATGCCAAGAATTTTACCATAGATGTAGTTGTGGTCCAAGAGAAGTCATCGCAGTCTTTCATCAAACAGAAATCCCATGGAAGAAGTACGGTGAATCTATAATAATTAATTTGTATTAAACATAAAGTTTTGCTGATATTAAACACGTTACATTATATTTTTTAATTAATAATAATAATTAAATAAAAATATTAGATATCTATTAAATAAAATACGACGTTACAAAGTTACTTACATTTTTAATTTTTGAAGCACCGCTGGATCTTTGGCGAGGAACAGGAAGAAAGGAAGACAGAGGAGTGAAAAATCTTCAACAAAAAAAATATGAAATGTTATAATCTGTTCTTGAAAAGATACTGATTATTTAAGGCCCTAATTTTTCAAAAAATTTCTAATTCGGAAGTCTGACGGAAATACTTTAATAAAGGAGGAAGAGGTTAGAGTTTCGTCTGTACAAGCTTCATACTAAAAATATGGCGCGCTTTTCTCTCGTTAAATAAGCTGCGCAGTAGGCAAAAAACGCGATGCGCAGAATTCAAATTCATTTGCGAAAGCGTTCCTTCCCAAAAATGACGTAAAGTATTAATTATCATTTACAAGAAAAAAAGCCCGCTTTCTTTCATACGGTTTATTTTCATCTCAATGTTCGCAAAATTTCGTCACATATACATCGTATCAATTACGTCAACTACTAAACACCTAAACAAAAAGATGATCAAAGAAACAATAATAATTTAGTTTTAAATTGTAAAAATATTCAACAAAATTACTAAGAACATACGTTGATCGAACGAAATAGTACCATCGGTGACAGGATGACGATTACGCGGTTAATAAATCTCACACGAGACAATACGCCTTAACCCCACAAGTTTCAACGAAACAATAACCTCTCGCGCAACAGGTTCGCGCTGCTAACTGATTCGATGGGGAGGGGATACAAATATGGACGAACAGGATTCAACTGACTTCTTGGAAAGACAAAAGTGTCCTATGACAAATGTTTACAGCATCGAACATTATTATACATCCATACTTACATATACATATATGAATATTTAAGAAATGACTATATATGCTATATATGGTTGGTTCCACCATTCGAAATATTGTAAAAAGATTTTGTAAATATACTACACATTAGTATAATTGTATATTATAATATAGACATACTACAACTTTTATAGATATACAATAACCTTGGATTACATTATATTGTCAACATGGCAGCTCGTGGTTTGAAATCGCGAAAGTGCTGCAACTTTCGAAATACATACGCATACACACATTATATTATATTATAATAATATATTATTTTACTTAATTTATTATATTTTATTATTTTTTATACAAAACAAGAGGATCGTTGACGATAAAATGAGATATTTCAAGCAAATGTAAATGAATTGACAAGTATGTTTGCACGTCAAGAAAAATTGGGGTTACTGCGGCTGCGCAGTGCCGAAGTACAAGCCGCCATTATGTATCGCAACGGAAATTTCAAAATTTCACTACACTACGCGTTAAACTCGACTATTGTTACAAATACAGCAACTGAATTAAATACGTACATGAAGAAATTCGTTTAAGTAATTCGCTCGTCTTTCCAGGGACCGTTGTAGAATCGTAGAAATAAGTTTAAAAATTAATAATTGTACTTTTTGCTTCGCGACCACCGCGCGATCCACCATTCTTCCGTGCATCCCGCTTCAAACTGACGTTCGTACAGGACCTACATGCATTTCTCCATACTATAGATCGATCGCCAAAAATATCGATTATGTCACAATAACAGAAACTGCATATTTCACCGCAGGAATCTTTATCAAACTATTGCGCATAGAATTGTTATTGAATTTATTTACCATTGTCATTATTAAATTTATCTTAAATAAAAAATTAAAAAATTCCTTTCTCGAACTCTTATTTATTGATCAAAGTATTTGTAATTTTATCCATCGCCGAACGAAAATGAATTTTAAATTTTCGATGACTTAATTTTAAATCTTTATTTCAGATTTTCGATTAGATTAATAAATTTAACTTATTCACTGTTCAAAGTAAGATTCATTATATTTCTATCGGTACAAAATATTTCTATTGGTTGTTTTTTCGAAATAGACAAAATATAAAGTGAACCTGTGATTTAGTGTTTTCTTTCGTATCTCCCATCATTATCTTGTCATACACGACGATCTTGATCTCGTGCAGCAATGGTTTCGATCACAATTATATTTTTTAACAAAATAACAGAAAGAAAGTTATAAATACGAGTTATATACATGTGCTTCTCTAGACGAAGATAAAAAATCGACTTTATCGTTCTCCAACTCGAAACATTGAACTGTTCAGAGAATTAAATTAAACTTCTCGTTCCGAGAGCCGCTCTTGCAAAATAACACGTGGATTTTTATATTTTATGTAATTAATTTACGAGCAGGTTGGTGCATGATAGTGGCGCCATCTATCGGTACTCGCCAGTACTAATAAATATTAAAAATACTTATTCGTCCGCTTTACCGATTAAACGGGACGTACAAAGAAAGCTGGAGATCTAATTAAAAGAATGTAATCGGAAAAAGTTTGCGAATTTATCACCCTAAACCAGTTTTCTTTGCAAATGAAAATTCGATCGATTTACAGACATGTAGGTATGTTGATAATTTAATTCAATCAATGTACAACAAATTGAAAAAATAACTCCGTATTTTATTTTTATAATTTGCATTAAATATTATTAATGTAACAAAAATATATATTTAATTGGCTAATGTAAATTATAACCAATTAACTAAACTATTCTCTGTAAATACTGAATAACGAATGAATACTATATATTATACTTGGTGATTACTATATATATAAAATATGTCTCTCCTTGTCTCACATTATCGCCCTCCTTGGTTACCCGGCGAATTTGTCTGTCCTTGTCCCACGCTATCGCCTTCCTTGTTTAACGCAAGGAACTGTCTGTCCTTGTCGCACGCTGTTGCTCTCTTTGTCTACCGCGTCTATATGTCTGTATTTGTCGCACGCTGTTGCTCTCCTTGTCTACCGCGTCTATATGTCTGTCCTTGTCGCACGCTAGTGCCCTCCTTGTCTAATGAAGCTAGACAAGGAAAGCAATAGTGTGCGACAAGGACATCCTTCGATCTATTACAAAAAAATTCAACTTTTCACACACACGTTTTTCTAGGACAAAACACACATAGAAAGAAAGCGGACAGCCTAATTTTAACGAAGCATACAAAAAAGTTCGCAAATTATTCCTCTTAATTAGGTGTTTTTCGTAATTAGTGCGAACTGTCACAAAATGGACATGGTGGCGCCATCTAGCGGTAACTCAGTGGTACTAATTATTTATAAAAATACTTATTTCTGCATTTTACGGGTCAAATGGGGTATGAAAA